AAACACACGTCAAACAAAAATCCTCTAAAATCTCAACCGAAGAGACGAGAGACCTCTGGAAATCTGTGCCGTTCTCCGTACCGCCGTCTTGACGTCATGGCTTCGGCAAAATACGATGGCTTTGGTGGAGGATCGAACAGTGGAAGCTACTAGGAACAAGAAGCAGCTAGGGGCTCCTGGCATCGCTACTAGGAGCAAGGACGCTACCAGGGTTTTCGTTCCTAGTGTCCATTCACTTATTTGACTTATTTGTGTCCGCCTTGTTCCAGGGGGGCCATGCAGTACACCGGTACAGTTACAAACACATGGCATGTGACTGGCTTCAACCTAACAGCAATGGCCTCCAATCTAAGAGCGATGGCCTCCAACCTAATATTATGTAAGCACGTGCATGTGACAAGGAGTCATGTTGAACATATTGCTTCGATGTCAACCTGAGTGGGTCATCAAACAGCAAGCTTCACAAGCAAACAAAGGTGATATGAAATTATCATTGATAAATAAGGCAACTCAATTCCCTTCACATGCAGTTCCCACTGCCGCACTTTCTGATCGTCGCCTAACTTGAACCTCCAACTAAAGCTTTTCGCAACGTTCCAGGATGGGGAACAATGACTGGAGGTTGGACAACTTGGATGGGCGACTTGGGTGGACAACATACGTTGGTCACTTGGATCTCTGAGGCAATGCCGCAATGGGTACGATGCAGACAGCAGCTTTGCCGACTCAGGTTGGATGACAATCGAAATCACTATTTGTTGTTCTCTCTTGCAAGCATGCTTGTCCAAACGGGAGACCTACCGCTTGTCCAAACTGGTCTCAGGAGAGGCCAGGGACAGATACAGACTTTTGTACACTTCTTCAGGCAGTGGGAACTGCTGGGGGGCACTGCCTTTCAGCGGCAGAACTTTGGAAACGCACCTCGCCTCAGCCCAGTTCTTGTACAGGATACTTGCAAAGACAATATGACTCATTTGTCAAGCGTTTCTTGATTTGGATGTTGACTTTGGAATCTGTTTGGATGGAAAGTGGAGAATCATATTAACTCTAAAGACCACATGTCGGAATGGTCAAAAGGGGATACTAGTCAAGAGTTGGGTGCTCGAGCACGATGGCCTGCTTGTGTCTCGGGATGTCTAGTGTGTCTCTGAGCACTCAGACCGCATCCATGGCCACCCAGAACATTGCAGATATGCAGCCTCGACCTCAGAGCTAGTGACATCAATCCAAATATGTAGAGGTGTAAGGCACAATAATGGCAAAGGATAGAGTGTTTGTTTTGTGACGAGCGAAGTCTTTTCAAGATGGTAGAGGAACAGAAGAAAATGTGATTAGTGGTTTTTTCAACGTGTTTTTTTGTATTGGAAAGTCTAAACCTGAGACATCCTGAAACCTTTCATGCCTGTTAAACGTACTCAAACACATTGTGCCGTGGGCTCGTCGAGGTACAAGACGATGGCACCTGATGTCTTTGGCTCAGCGCATCTCACGATGCCACTTTTTTAGCTTCTTGTTACTAGTAGGGATGCCCTTTGCTCCTAGCTTCTTGTTCCTAGTAGTAAGGCCAGGAGCCCCTAGTAGCTTCTTGTTCCTAGTAGTAAGGCCAAGAGCCCCTAGTAGCTTCTTGTTCCTAGTAGTAGGGCCAGGAGCCCCTAGTAGCTTCTTTTCGACATGGCTTGGATGCTTGAGGTCATGAAGACACAGCCTGGCGGTGCGTATGCCAACAACTATGTTGCAGACTTAAATCTGGATTCTGCACCGAAGAGCATCCTCCGCGCTTTGCCCAGGATGCTATGGCAACAAGAGCTCCACCAACACAGACTGATGCGTACGGCTACCTGCTTTAAATGGATCACGCGTCGTCCAAGTTAAATTTGTTCTTCATTGGTAGCTTAGAAGCTATTGAAGCTAATTGTTTTTTCAATGGAAGTTATATAATGGTTGGAGGCCATTGCTATGAAGTTGGAGGCCATCGCTACTCGACTGGAGGCCATCGTTACTATTGCTACTAGGGTGGGGGGCCATCGCTATTTTGGTGGAGGCCATTGCCACTGGGATGGAGGCCATCGCTAGGGTGGAGACCATTGTATTAAGTTCCTTTTGCTAATGATGAATTTGACTGGGAGCGAAAAAGCTCCTAGTAGCGTCCCTGTTCCTAGTAGTAAGGCCAGGAGCCCCTAGTAGCGTCCGATCGCTCCGTTCGTAGCGATGCCCTTTGCTCCGTTCGTAGCTTCTTGTTCCGTTTGGATGGTTCAACTGCTTTCTGACCTGAGGTTATGGGGGATCGGGCTGTGGGGGTCGACCAAGCAGTGGCTATGGATGTGGGTCGTCGCGGAACATGGGAGGCTACGGAGGACAGAATGGCTACGCAGATGGCTATGGAGGATCAAACTATGGAACGGGCTATGGAGGCTCAGCTTATGGAGGTTCTGGGTGTGGCTACGGTTATGGCTATCCAACCAGCTATGCACAAGGGCAACAAGGCCAAGGCTGCCAAGGCCAAGGTTATGGAGGCTCGGCTTATGGCCAAAACTATGGCTATGGAGGATGCGGCCAATGTGGTCAAGGTCAGGGTGGCTATGGCTATGGATATGGAGGTGGTGGCACTGGCTATGGCGCTTATGGCTATGGCGGAAGCCAAGGACAGGACTTCCCGGAATAGTTCGTCTTGAGAGCTGTTTGCATGTGCAGGAGTAGCTCCCTATCAAGGTTACAGTGAGAGGGGCTATGGAGGTCCCATCCACGGTTTCATTAAAACCGCCAAATTTGGCTGATTCTTTGCTACTTGAGAGAGGGACACAGGGGCAATGCATCAGGTATGAATGAGATGGTGGCAACCCAGCAGTTGTCAGCGCAACAGGTTTACAGCCGAGAAGTCGAGAGCTCAATGTATTTGTCCGTCCAATTCCGCTACTAGCAACAAGTGCCACGCTAGTAGTAACAAGTGCATCGCTACTAGTAACAAGTGCATCGCTGGTGATCGCTTCTATTCCGAGAGTACTTGTATTTGGCAGACTTGACAATGACTGTATTCGTCATCTTGAGGTTCCTGGTTCCTTTGCAGCTCCTGGTCACGCACCCAGCGGCTACCTTGCAAACCACATGTGCAGAGTAAAGAGAGAAAAGTGCTCTTGTCTTTGTCAGTGGTGGAGGCTACAATGCCTACATGGCTGGATCAGGCTACCCTCCAGGCCAGTTGTTGCCAATAGTTGTAGAAGGTTTTGTTTGCTGATTCGCTTCATTCACTTCTTTGTCCAATGAGCTGGAGTCCGAAAGATGCTGTCTTGTCCATTCTCTACTAGCATGTTTTCTTGACAAAGCAATCATTCAATCGCAGCCTTGCCGCACAAAAAAAAAGGTGATCAATTGGAATGTGAGAATTGTGAGATGCAGAGGCCATCCTGCAGCAGCTGCAGCACAAGGGCAAATGCCTGTGGGTCGAAACCTAGGATTTGGAAGGAGAGTGTTTTCTTGGCATGGAAGTTGTGGCAAGAAGCTACTAGGAACAAAGAGCATTGCTACTAGGAGCAAGGACGGTACTAGGGGCTCCTGGCCTTACTACTAGGAACAAGAAGCGACTAGGAACAAAGGGCATGGCAGACTGTGATTACCCAGTTGCCGCATGATGGAATCTGGTGAAACTGGTGAAACACTTTGATCTGTCACAGCTGCCACACTGTATGGCAGTTGTGCCTCCAAAAGGCTGCGGCTTGAGTGCAACTGGCTTTGGCTCTAGCTAAGAAGAGGAAGGACTCTAGAAAGAAAGCTTTTGCTTTACAAGAACGCTGTGCAAAAGGACTCAGGCCTTGAACTTAACTACCACACACACGAAGAGAGCCACATGCGATTTCTCAGGTCGGAAGCCTGGACGCACCCGCCGAAGCATTTGCTGCTGAAGAGTGTCCCTCGGAGGGTAGGAGCGATCGGACGCTACTAGGAGCAAAGGGCACCGCTACTAGGAACCAGGACGCTACCAGGGGCTCCTGGCCTTACTACTAGGAACAAGAAGCTATTGGAAACAAGAATTAGAAGTAAACTTAATCTAAATTTAATTAGAATTCAAGTAGAGATGGCATGACCGAAGAGATCAACTTCTGACTTCTTCCTTCCAAGGAGCGCCTCCAACCTAAGAGCGATGGCCTCCAACATCCTCCAACCTAGATATTGCTGAAGGTGAACAAAGAGAGGAAGAAAAGGAGGGTGTTTGGGTTCCTTTAGCGAGGTGCCCTTAATGCTTCAAAGGGGATCTTGTTGAAGGGGCTCGCGTCCACCTTATGTTCTTTTTTGATGATGATTTTCTTAAGAAAGACGTTTGTTTCAGATTGCCTTAAAAGATGGAAGGAGACTCTTTACTCAACCAGTTTTACTCCTGAGTGGACCACCCCCTCACAACATCATACGCCTCACCTTGCAGGTGGCCTGAAGACTCTTTCAGTGGCTTTTATGATTCATATCGTTGTATCACTCAGAAATGATTTGCATTGAGATTGCTTACTTCCAGTGCATAGGGATGCATAGGGCATATATGTGGACTTTGCCCAACATCCCAATGCCTGGATATCTCTTGCGTCTTTCACATATCTTTTCATCATCGCTTTCGACGGAGATGGACGTGCGTGTAGCTCAAAAGCGCTGCTGAGTTCTTGGGTTTGGACATGTCGATCAAAAACAAGGTCCCTTTAGACATACACTAGCTATGCCACTGTAACGTGAAGTTTGTTGAAGTATTGAAATTTAGATCCCTGATGCAATTCGAATGGTCTTTTCACATTGCAGAGTGATTGCAGCACTTTGATCCAGTCGATGGACTCGCAAGGTGGAGATCACATTTTAAAAAAAATGTCTCGTGACACTTTGGAACGTTTCAGCGCAAAAATAAATTACAAATAAGTAGTGACTGCATTGGGCGTCGACATGTTCTTGAGCCCAACCAGTGCTTATGAAGGCCTTGGCCTTCCAATTCATGTCTGCCCAAGAATCAGCAATGTGGCCTATTCCTCATGCTGCGGCGTCCTTGGAGACCAGGTCGGGGTATTGCTCCCTTTGTTTTGACATGTTGATGCCGTGTTGGTGCCGAGGTCACCTCATTTCGGATTTCCGACGACGCAAAATACTAATTTAAAAGGTCCTAGTAGCAAACATTGTTTCTACTAGTAAGGCACTTGTTACTAGTAGCGATGCACTTGTTTCTAGTAGCTTATTGTTTCTACAAGTTGTTATTTCCCCAAACAGTTTACTGTGTGGGTTCTATCTTAGAAAAAAAGAGCTGGACACACTGACTGGCCGCGCCCCTGAACTCTGTGGCCGGGCTCTGTGACCGGGTCTTTGTCCTCCTCTTGTCTTCTCCTGTGGCCGAACAATTAACCATGCCGATGCCGACAAAATTCATTGACTAAGCAATTGGCTCTTGGGGGGAAGGTAGGGCGTACCAAGAAACTGTTTTTGACTGATATTGGTCCCAACGAATCCTTTTGAAACTGTTTGGGGTCTATGCTGGTATAATAACGAAAAACAAGTGCTTATGTCGGGCTGCAGGGCGCAACTGTGCAAGAATGCAAGTGAACCAGGCCGATGGCAGTGGTGCAGACTGGCCTCGACAGCAGACCCGTGGCTAGCGCGAGAATTCTTGTAATGGCAGTAGGATGCAAAGATCCTGGAGAAGCACTATGCGGCAGTGGTGAATATATTGAGCAAGGATGTTTTTGACAATTGTAGGTTGTTTTTGCTTCAAACCTCTACAACCTCTTATTTCTTGGATAAAAACCGTTCCCAAGATGTCTATGTTGGTCTTCGCCATTCGTTTTTGCACTTACACCATGCTACGAAACTTAATCTTACACTGAATACTGCTTTTTCACCTCGAGTCTGGAATGCAAGAGCACATCGCCACTTGTACTTCTCATATTTGGGTTTTAAAGAAGCCCTTGAGTCTGGAGTCTGGAGTGTCTTACGGCACAGTTGTTTCAATGCGATTTTTTGCAAAGCTGATTTGCAAACATGTATTGGTGTGTTTTTTTGACAAAAAGGCATTTTTACTAGCTTTGCTGCCTTGCTATTCTGAGGACCTTTGTGTGGAACTCCATGGTTTGGCTGCTCGAGGAGCCCTCGCTGCAGCAGAAAGGCGGCTTTCTGTAGAAGGGCTCCCAGGACAGAGCACTCCTGGTGCCATGAACAAAACAACGCGCGCATGGGCGATTTGATGGAGGTGATTGAAAAAACCAATAAACGAAACGTAACGAAACGTCACGTTCCACGAAGAGATCTCAGATGAAGCATGACCCATCATGGCCGTGAAAAAACATGTACTCAACTTCAAGACTGAGTTTGGTCTGCGTATTTGCGTACACATGTGTGCACAAGGTGCTCTTGTAGCAGCAAGCTGCTTACCGCCAAAGTACCGCGGAACAATCTTTCGATGTTTGCTCCTGGCCGCAATCAATGCTGATGATGCAGATGCGGCCTCCAGGTGGGGGAACCCATGAAGCAGATGATCCAACAATCACTAAGAAACAGTGCAGCAGGTGTGCGATGGTCTCATTGGTTTGCCGTGTTGTAGCAGGTGGCTTACTGGCTTTGCCCGTTTCCTTCCAGATGCGTCCAGCAGAATGACAACGCTAGAAGAGAGAGGCACAGTAACACACCTGTCAAGCTGGTTGTTCACACATCACGATGGACTTTGTACTAGGTTGTTCGGCTCAGAGTGCTCAGGACACACATGAGTTTTGGACACAAGACATGCATTAAAATAGAAAATGTGAACTTGGGCCCTTGGGTCCCTTTAATAAGTCTCACCCAAGGCGCCCAAGTCTACCTATGTTTGGTCCCTCTTCTCTCTAAATTTCTATATAGTAGACATGTCTAAAATTGTTTGCATGTTGTTTTCTTTTGTAAGTTTCGACTTTCGTTGTTGGTTTTTCTCTCCGTTTGTGTCCCAGGTCTCGAGGAGAGAGGCCCTTCTGGACTTGAGGTCCTTGGACGACTCCTGGGCGTGGTCTCCGAAGGTGGCCCACAAGCAGCAGAAAGGTCTCCTTGTCCGAAGTTGATTTTCCCAATAGCAAAAAGAACCTAATAGCTACTAAGAGCGATGGCCTCCAACCTACTAGCTATGGCCTCCAGCCTAAGAGCGATGGCCTCCAACCTACTAGCGATGGCCTCCAGCCTAAGAGCGATGGCCTCCAACCTACTAGCGATGGCCTCCAGCCTAAGAGCAAAGGCTTCCAGCCTAAGAGTGATGGCCTCCAGCCTAATAGCAAAGGTCTCGTTGTTCCAATTTGCTGTTTAGTCACTGAAGTCAGCTTCCTGGTTTTTCCCAATTTTTTTAAATAGTCTTTGGGAGCAATCCTATTCAGGTTAACTGAGCTGTAGGACATGTAGGAAAAGTGTTTGAAGTGTTCAATATAGAAGACTGTGGCCAATTCTGGTCAGTTTCCTTGCAGTGCATATTCCAGACACCAAGAAACTAGCAAAGCAACATGTTTTCAAACTTCAAACGTTTTTACCACTATCGAGCCCGCTCAGTCATTGATCTCAGGTGGTTTCTAGCCCTGGAGGGTTCCGGTCCTTTAGCCGAGCTTCTGCGCCATCGTGTGATGGTGAGATCAGGAGACTTTTCTTCTATGGAGAGGAGCGGGACATACGAATACCGATCTACAAGGATCTACATACAGTGATCTGATTGACTTTGGGTGTCATGTTTGTGGAGCGCAACATGGCTTGCAGAGTATTGGTATGCTTGCGAACAACAAGATTACTTGCAGCGCCTGTAACATGCAGCAGTCGCTTGCTTGTTGATAGCTAGCCCTCAAAGGAGCTTGGCCTGTCTGCCAGCCCTTCAAGCACCATGTGAAGATCGTGCGACGGCAGTGGAACAAGCACTGGAGCGCATTGCAAAGGGTTCAGATCCTGGACGAGTTCATTTGTGGCTTTGGCGCTTTGATTCCATGGCAGTTTGGCACGAAAAATCAAGAGTGATTCCACCCTACTAGCGATCTCCACCCTACTAGCGATGGCCTCCACGTGATTCCCATAGGCGCCATGCACACCTTTGCACACCAGCATTAAAAAAGAAGCTATTAGGAAAAAGTGCATCGCTTCTAGTAACAAGTGCCTTACTACTAGTAACAAGAAGCTAGTAGAAACAATAACTAGTAACTAATAATTAGTTTTACCGGTTTCACTTTTACACGATGTTGAGGCATCCTTCATTGACTATATCCCTGGAGTGGCAGAGTGCTCGTCCGCACTACTGGAGACTTGGTGTGCAATCTACCTCAGGTCTGCATTGCTTTTGATTGCTTTTTTTGTTTCACCATTTGGAGGTGAAAACAGCAGTTCAGGAAAACTGTCCTAAGAAGTCCTAAGTCGACCCATTCCACTGTGCTTTGTGGTTGTTGAGTCTGATGGTTGGTCGAGACTCTCTGTCGCATGTAGCAGCTACGGGCTATTGTATCATATATGAAGGCTTCAGGATTCTTTCGGAGGTGTGACACATGTGTACCAAGGTTCCATGAATTCCAGGTCCCCTTGATTGCCTTGATTGCATCTTGACTTCAGGCCGCTGCTCGGATGGGTGATGTGCCTCGAGCAGAATATTTCTTGCAGCGTTGCACAGGTGCGCGGAGCTTGCGCTCCTGGCTGGCCAGTGCGACGAAGGAGGGGTCAAAGTTCGAGATCATGATTTTGGAAGGCCAAAACCTAAAGCATCGAAGAAAACACAGAAAAAGCAATTGCTATTATATTATTATTGAAGCTTAACTAAGCTTAACAAATAGCGATGGCCTCCAACCTACTTGCGAGGGCCTCCAACACGAAAGGTCGAAGAAAGAAGAAAAAGGAAAAACAAGGAAAGACACAACAATTGGTGTTGCTTCTAGCAGCAAGAGTTGAGACCTGCGATAGTTGGGTTGGTTGAACATGTCGAAACGTCATGTCCCACAGATTCAGCAGTGCCTGATGCAAAAGTGCTCGCAGAAAGCTGGTTGCAAGGTGAATGAAGGACCAGTGAAATGCCTACGTGGACTACCCAAAAGACAGCTCTTCGCTCTGGAACTCAATTTGTGTTCAGAGCCCTAATGGGGAAACATTCGATTATGAGACGATTGCACATTTCACATTATTTAATCTGCCAGGCAGTGCAACATGGGAATCTGGGTCGGTAATTGATATAGGTTTGTTATTTCCCGTGCACATTGACTTCCGTCAAAATCATGTATATACAGATTGACGGTCCAAGTTGAAACCGTTCAAACTGCGGTCAAACATTTAAAATAAAAAAAACATGTGTGAGTCTGATTGTTACGCTCATTGTGTGAGTCCGGAGGTGCTATCACAGACTTATATAATTAGGCTTTGGACTCTGGCGAAAACGCTGCCTCGGGCTCCCCTTTTTTTTTCACCCTTCAACAATGTTTTTTTCACCCTCCCTTTTTTTCCCACCCTCGAAACCTTCTTTTTTCACCCTCAAAAATCATTTTTTCCCCACCCTGTGGAACCTTTTTTTTTCACCCTTCGAAAACCTGTTTTTTTCACCCTGCACCCTGCC